GCCACTGCTCTACGGAAACGTTAAAACAGTCTATTTCATACAAAATTAAGTTTTTAAAAGCTTTTGTGAAGTTGCATTTTTTAGTTTACTAGTATACTTTAGTTTCCAGTAATTTTAAGTTATTTATTTTTAACCAATTTTAAAAAAGGATGGTTCTCAGATTAGTCATATGTTTGCGTATGCGCGAATTTTTCACAAACAATATAACTGACTTGTAATTCTTGTACTGAGGTAATCTATATACTTATGGAACAAATAATTATACAAAATATTAAGGTTTTCAACTTTTTAGTTTTTCTTAAATCAATTAATTAAAAAAAAACACATATATGGTGTACCATATGATATACCTTATAAATGAAGAAATAAATAAAGATGAACTTAGTTATCAATAAGACTAGTATTTTATCAGTGCTATCAAGTTGCAAACTTCTGTAACATACTAAAAAACCAATTATATAATACAGCAACTACTTTTTGATTCCAAATTAGTTTAAAAATGTATACAAATGTAACAACACTGTAATCTTACAGTATAAGGCACTATATCATTGTAAATATGATGTTAAAATATTTATTATTCAAAATGATATTTAAAGGGCCAAACATAAGACAAGTAACACGTCAATAATAATTTAAGAGGATTGTGAAGCTGTAAATTTTCATACAAAAAGCGATAACGTTTTCCCACCAGTAAACATAGTCTAATTTTCATAATTTTTGGAAATGTTGTAGATATAATGAAAAAACTAGGTCCGTACGTTACGTATTTTAAAGAAATATTGCGTGCGATATAAGTTATTAGCATCTAAATATCTATATTTTTGACTTCCCCGAGCCTTTTTAATTTTTTTATTAAACTAAACTGAATTACTAAAAAAGAAAAACGTACAGACCTAAATTAAGGTAAACTCTATCAATAAAATAATCAAATGAGACCAAAATTGTCTCATTTCGTTGGTCGGTTTAGGGGGGTAAAAACGTTATCGCTCGAAACAACATTTAAATTCAAAATGTAGGCAATTACTTCCAATATTTGTAACTCTCTCTACCGCACTAAGGCGATACGGAGCGAGCGATGTGAAACAGATAGCATTTTTAAAAATACCTCCGTATCGGTACATCACAATCCCCTTAAATAATATTTATTAACAAGAACAATCCAAAGTGATATTTTAAGTAAAATGTTAAATATTTTCAATTTATAATGCATACAATTATTAAAATGTAACATTAAACTCATTAATCTATACAAATAAATAAAATTGAAATGTCCGGGGAAAAAAATTAAAACCCCAAATTACACGCAGGCGTAGCATATTTTTAACATCTTGTTAAAAAATACACTCCATTCAGGTGTAATGTAATATTAAGAGTATTCAAAAGTAAAAGTACCAGCCTACATTTATTTATTTGTCTTAACACAACTACATATTATGTTTTGCTACTGAGCTGAGTATATTTTAAATACGCCAACAAATAATTAAGAAATATAATAATTTCCTCCAGATGCAATTCCGGTAATTGGTCTTTGAGATAGTCACAGAACCCAGTTACAATGAAGACTGGCATTTGTGACTGTCTATCTGTGCTATCTTCGCAACACAGGATTATATGCATGAGCAGGTGCGCAAGCACAGAATGCACTTCCTAAATACAAATAAAAGAAATGTGGTGGAAGCGTTAGAGAACCCTTTACCTCATTTCATTCCATGAGCGTTGTCTCTTAGATTCATTGATTGACCCTAAATAGTGTCCGCAACTAATTGGCCAGGCGTATTTTCGCGGCAATTTTTTTTTAAATACTATTTAAGCCACCTCAGCTTCTGAAGGGATCTCAGTAAGTTCTTTATATTATCAATAATTTTGGCAACCTCGGTGACCCGAGGAACTTAGCTGGCAATTCTGAACAATCAAGTAGATTGTCGGTCGCTGTATCCTCATGCACAAAGGGCTGTATATAACACCTAATGCTAAGAGATGCTTGTGTCGCCTCTTATATGGTAACCTCCCTAAAACGGAAGTGTCTAGCAGGGATTCTACAGATAAATAAAGGAGAGGTAAAGAAAGTAGATTTGCATAATTGTTATAGATTCTGCTTTCTCTTTAGATATTATGACCAAACAGAATATTTTTGATTCAAATATTCAGTTATAATCAGATTCAATGTTTCACATTTAAAAATTGTTCAGTTTTCTTGGGTAAAAAAAGACCACAAAACGCAACAATGAAAACTATTTGAAAACCGATTATTATACTGTTGATCAATGTCAGAAATTCCTAATTTACAAAGAAAATTAAAGTGTGTTCTACTTTCTAATATCGCTTCCCGGCAAATAAAAGTGTCAAAAAAAGGTCACGTGCGGTCATTTTGCGTATCACAGGTTAATTGTGCAATAATTCTGTTTTGTTTTAAAAGGTGACTATTAAACTTTACGTTATTTAATACAAAAAAGCATGATGTTATTTTTACTTCGCTTTATTTAAAAACAAATAAAAAATGTGATAATTTGCAGTGAATTCTGTTTTATTTTAAAATAACTTGGTAGACCTTAATACTAGTCTAATAATTCAGCTTTGTAGTAAAAATTATGCCATGGTACTGGAGCAACGGCCTAAGGATCAGTTTATATAAAAAATGATGAAGTCTATCAGTACCATTGTGATTTACTTCCTTTTTTATTTTTAGTGATACAACTTGATGCAATTGTTTAAAGTTAATTCTTTTTTTCTTGTAAATGGCACGTCGAAAGTAATAATTTCAACCATGTTCAATATTTTTATATGCCTTTAAAAATTACCTCCTGGAGGTCGAAGAAAATCCTAGGCTTGATTCCTCAAGCCAGTAATGAAACATATAACACCGATCGAAAAAATTATGACGAGGTAAATACTTTATTTAACTTATTAATACTATAAGTACCTCTTGTATAAAATAAGTGCAAGTTGATCAGAGTAGGTACATTAATTAGGCATAGGCTTAGTTATGACTTATTAGGCCTAATTTTCCCAAATTAGGCTTTTAATGTTTAGTTATACAGTTTAATTGATGATCAGCCATTTAAGGTCCCCTTTAAGTTGCTAAAATGCAACAATCGCGTATTTTAACTTGTAATTGTTAATTAAATTTAATTTGTAATCGTTGGGTATAGCCAGTCCAAATCCCAGCAGTGGGATGTTAAAAGGCTGTTGATTTGATTTGATTTTGTAATTGTTGTGATTGCAATTTGTAACTGAATGACAATCAAAAGTATTGTCTTAAGAAATTATGCTTAAAACCATTAAGACTTGTGTAGATTATTTATTTATTTTTCTTTCAGATAATAAACAGTGGGGAGTTAGAAGCAGAAAACAAGGAAAATACGTCTCCAAAGCCCAATTCAGTCACAGAAGTAGAAACGACGGCTTCGATAGCATGTTTGCTACAGACTGAAAAAACCACCTGTTAAACTTGTATCTGACTGTAGAAGCGATTCATCTTTTAGCGAAAATAAAAATATAGACGAAAAAAATGAGCCTGAGCATGGTCGTAATACCTCTGATAATTTGACATCATCAGTCATTAATAATTCTAAATGTTCACCGTCTAAAAGTACCAAGATTTCGGTCTCTTCACGATCGTCTTCAACTAGTTTGTCGACATCTAATTCATATTCATCGTGTTCTGCATCGTCTAAGTTCATCGACATCGACATCGTCCAGCAATAGTGTAACATGAACAAGATGGCGGTTTACAAGATCTTCAGACAGGGAGTGAAGAAAATATACCATCTTGCTCCAATTTCTCAAATAATAGAGAGGGACGGCAAAGGGAGCGTAGAAGTAACAACAAAGCTAATTATAATATTTTTCCAATATACACTGATCAAAGTGACGTTGATATCAGTGATGATGATCCTACCGATCCGATAATTATCGAAAAATTTCTTAAAAATACCGATAAACGATAATTTCATAAAGGTTTTATGCAATCATTTCCATCACTACCGCGAGTTATTTTTTGGAATTCGCGCTGCGTGCAGTGGCATTCCACTAGCCCGTGTCTATAGCTCTCTTGCTTACTCATTTCATGACCAACACAAGTGCGCAGTCGCGTGCAGGACTGAACGCGCCATTATGGGCGGCGTGGGAAGTTTGTTCAGTGTGATCCAGTGTGGTGTGATGTTTGGTTGGTTGCGTTGTGTTCTGTTGAGCGTGCTTCGCTTTTTTGTCGACACGACGCTAAAGGATTTACAGTAGGTAAGTAAAATAATCTAGATAGATAGATTTTAAGTAGATTTTTTATATTATGTACTTGTTTGAGGTTCGCTTTATAAGCCCACTTCATATTCATACATCTTCTTTACTTCATAGCCCACAGTGGTCAGTCATATAAGTAGGTAATTTTATATAATATTTTAACTTTAGGTAGGCACACGTTATTTAAATGTTACGTAGTGTGTTTAAAAGTTTATTTACTTACACAATACTTAAATATCATTCGCAGTATTACCAAATTACCGTATTTTTATCGAGATCACGTCTCAGTGTGTCTCAGTCTACCAGTGTTGCCCGTAGCTTCGAATTTCGAATCATAATATTATTAGTAGTGTGAATATTAAAAATATCTTTTGTTTTAGGTACTTACTGCAACGAGTGAATTAATCAATAATGTCAAATAAAATAAACTACATTCCTGTATACAAAAAAAGTTCCGATCCAACGTCGGTTTGGTATCATTTCCTAAAGGCCGATACGGGTGATTCTGCAAAATGTAAAACATGTGAAAAAGTTATTAAGTGTGCGGGTGGTACTACAACAGGACTACGCAGCCATTTAAGATTACATAATATTTCACTTGACAGCGAAAGGCTTGCTTCAGAAGTAGCTAGGGAAACTGCTGGGACTTCCAAAAGAAAAAATGATAACTCTTTATTGGAGTCACCAGTTTCAGCGAAAAATTGCAGAATGACGACTACTTCTCACAATCAAACAGATCATTGGATGTTATGGTATCAAGAATGACAGCACTTGACGGTATGCCATACAGGGCATTTACAGAATCTGAAGACCTGAAGCATCTATTTAAAAAAGCTGGTTATAAATTACCTACGAGCGCAAATACTATAAAAGATGTGACTATAAAGTTTTATGATAAGACTAAGAAAAACCTTATAAAGGAAATACAGGAACTAAAGGATGAAGGACACAAATTTTCGGTTTCAATAGATGAATGGACATCTTCAAGAAATAGGCGATATATGAATATGAATCTTCACTGTGCATTTTTCAAAGGTAACCACCACACGACGAGAAATCTTGGTTTATGTAGGACGTATGGCTCTGTTACCGCTATCAAGTGTGAAGAATACCTGCGAGAAAGGCTACACGAATTTAAATTAGATTTTGACACTGATGTGATCGCCATTATATCTGATGGAGCTTCTGTTATGACAAAACTAGGGGAAATTTAAACTGCATATATCAGTTATGCTTAGCTCATGGCTTGCAATTGGCCATCGTGGATACGTTCTACGTAAAAAAATCAAGAAAACGTAAATGAGGCTCAAGAAGAACTTGCCGAAAACGAAAATAATCTGAACACTGTTTGCATTGGCACTGAAGATGATACTGAGACTGGTGGATTTCAAATAGAGCAAGTTCCAACTGTAACAGTTGACGTGGAGACAAATATTAAGTTTGGGCTTGTTGTAGAAAAAGGTGAGGAATATTGTGCGGATGTTCAGAAAGTCACCAACGAAATCCGATATTCTTCAAAATTACATAAAAATGGAGCTTGGTAAAGAATACGCACTGATATTAGACTGCAAGACGCGCTGGAGTACTCTTTGCAATATGATTGGTAGGTTTATTAAAGTGAAAAGAGCAGTCTTAAAAGCACTCATTGATGTAAAATGTGATATCCAGATTAATGAAGTGGAGTGGTCTATTCTCGAAGACATTTATGAGAATCTCGATGTAATGAAAGTTACTGTTGAAGCTGTTTGTCGCGAAGATGCTACTCTGCTTAGTGCTGATGCTGCCATGATTTTTGCACTTAAAAAACTTGAAACTCGTAACACGTTGCTTAGTAAGGAGCTTCATGCAAGTCTGAGCAAAAGGATCAAACAAAGGCGGCTACCAGTTGCAAGTCTAATGCAATACCTTCACAACCCAGCAACATATTTTGAAGAAAATGAATATGACGCAGATGTTTATCCGCGCTTGCCTAACGATTGTCTGCAAGAGATGGTATTGGGGCTTCTAAAATACGATTCGGCCGCACAATCTTTTACTTGCAACGATGTCAATGACTTACCTACTGATGATTCGCAGAATGAAGTCGGCAGCAATTCCTCATTATCAAATAAAGAATTAATTAACCAACAAATCAGCAAAATTATCTTTGATGACACGAGAAGAGTTGGAATTGGAAATCTTTCAACGTCTAAAGAAGACTTATTGACACTACTGAAGGTTGAAATGCTGTTATTTGAAAATGGAGGTGATCGAGGCCAATTGCTGTCAAAAGCTTATCGATGGATTCGTTCAATTAAGCCAACAAGTGTAGAGAGTGAACGCGCTTTTTCTGCGGCTGGAATATTATGTAATAAACTGCGCACAAGCCTTAGCGACAAAACTATAAATTGCTTGTCGTTTCTTCGCACTTATTTCCAACAACAAAAAAATTGTAAATAGATTATGTATGTTAATAATATACCTACAAATTATTCTAAATTAAACGACTGATTTAAATGTTACAATAATTGATTCCTAATGAAACCAAAAAATGTTAAGTAATAGGTTAATATTAATATTTTATTTTATTGTTTATATATTTTTTGTTTTTGTTTGTGAGAAAAAGATAGTAGTATAGCTAGTGCTATTATGATTAAGACTTGTTTTTTCTATATTGATTTTTAGTTTTATGGAAATAAAACCATATTTTTAATTAAATAACGTATTTCATTGAATTATAAAAACAATAAATTTTCTTGTAGAGAGTAGAATGCACAAAGAAAGCAATTTTAAGAGACAGGTATTTTTTTTAATGTAAATCGGTAATTCTCGGTTTTTATCGAAAAAAAACCCGATAAAAATTGAATTATCGATTATCGAAAAGTTCCGATAATTGCATGCTCTAGTTGGTCCCTACTTTAATGTATGGTAGTGAAAGTTGGGTATGGCAGAAGAAGCACGAGAGTAGAATAAATGCAGTAGAAATGCGGTCGTTAAGGAGTATATTAGGTCTGAATCTGAATGACAGGGTGAAAAATTGTGTGGTAAGAGAAGAGTGTGGTTTGCAAGATGATGTTGTGGCCAGGATGAAATGAATGGAATAGGAATAGGAATGCTTCGGTGGTTTGGTCATGTGGAAAGAATGGATGAGGAAAGAGTGACAAAAAAAATTTATGTTGCAGAAGCGAATGGCAGATCGGAAAGGGACGTCCTAGGCGAAAATTTATCGACCAAATTGGCGATTTATTGAAAACGGGCCAAATTAGGAGTACCGTTAACCGACGAGCATGCATGCGTAGGTGTATGGATGTGAAGGAGGCGAGAGAGGTGTGTCAGGATCGTGCCAAATGGAAGTCTGTAGTCTCTGCCTACCCCTCTGGGTGACAGGCGTGAGTGTTTTATGTTATAAAGAAAAACCTAAAATCCGGTCCAATATACAGTCCCGATCAATATGTCACACTAATAAAAAATTCAAAAAAAGCAACCCACCGATTAACGTACATGAATTAACATTCGACTCGTTTATGGACTTTAAGGCCCTTCAAGAAGAATGGGGATATAATTATAATATTGACAGAGACGGAAGTACTGTAATGAGGAATGATATAAAGGTTTTAAGAATGGTGAAATCAGAACCTCTCAGTTTTTATTATAAAACTTCATATAATGATAACACTTTTAAACAAGTTGACGTTAGAAAAAAAAAAGAAAGAAAATGATCAATATATCCGAAATTTCTTTAAATCAAGCATATAGAGAAAAACTACAACTGAGTGCTAATAAAAAAAAGATTTGAATGAGTTGGTAACGAAGAAGTTGATTCCCTCCTTTTATGCCAATTTTTATATTATTCCATTTCTCATTGTTTTACTATAATCTGATTAAATCATTAAAATATTGAGCAGGTAGACGACAGTGATTGTAAGATTCGCAAAAATAATAAATTATAATTTAGAAATTTAAAGTTTACTTTTGATAGAAATATGTTTTAGTTAAGAATAATTTTAGTTTTGATTATGTGACATTTTACAATTATTTTGATTATTACCTGATATTAATTGCTTTTGACAAGAGATACAAGACTGATTATTTGATTCGTATGTAGTTTTTATTTTTGTTAAAGAAGTTAATTTATTGTTATTTTTGAAGCCACACTCAAGAATGATTGTTGGTTAATTTTTGTTTAAATTTATAATAATAAAAGTCAGATTGTTCAATAAATTTTGTTATGTTTAAAAAACCAAGTTTATTCTTAGTTTTTATTTTCTTTAAAAATTATGAGTTCAATAATCTCATTTCACTTTCTCTTTTTGAATAGTTATAAACCGAATTAATGTCAAATATTGTCTAAACCATTACTTACATTTTTCAATTAAAAAGAAGCTTTACGGCTTGATACACTTTTTTAGTTTATTTTTTGCATAAAGTGAATTAAGTCAGAAGATTTTTTTGGCCTCAAAATTATTTAACTTGTATATTTTTAACAAAATTTTGGTATTGTCATTAAAATCTCTATAGTCTCAATAGCATAATACAATCTCTAATCTCTAAAGTAGTCAATAGCATAATACAATTTTTTTAATTTTCAATCAAAGGTGACAATGAGGAAGTGTTAAACTTTAAACGCCATTTCCCACAAATTGATATTTTTGAGTTCCATCTTTTTATTTTTAAGCAAGCGATATGATTAATATTATATAAAGTGTCACAAAATGTGCTATGACGCTTTTTTCGAAGAAAAATTGTTGGAAAGTGGATGGATATGTACAGATGATGATGTACAGAAAATAGTATTATCTTGTGTATATGCACTTTTGTAGGCTGCTTTTGGTCTTTATTCTGGTTTATAAGAATGTAATAAAGACGTAACACATTAAGTGACATTTTTTTATCAAACCATTGCAATGATCAGTAGTTTTATGATAACTGATAGAATCAGGCGTTACTTTGCGAAAATCCATTACAATAAAAATATCAATTAACAATAAAAATATTAATTACTTCGCAACCTTCCGCTAACTAAATACAATGATGTGTCTTACCTGGATTGAAGAGCACCTCCCGCCCTCCCTCAATTGCATGCACTAACTCCGTCACCACTAGTCCCAGCACTAATACTCCCGGTACCACTACTTCCAACACCACTATTCCAGGTAAGACACACCATCGACGATAATACGACACGTGTTTCGCCTCTACACGAGGCATCCTCAGGTGTGCGGAAGGTTGCGAAGTAATTAATATTTTTACAGTAGTTTTATGTTGTATTAATTCTTTCTTTCTGTATAAATTTATGTCTTTTTTGAAATGCACGTAGCATATTTTATTTAATGTCTGTTTTACGGAAAAAATATAATGATTTATGGCTAATAGTTCACTTTAAAAATATAATCAACCTTTACCAAAGCTAATTAAATTGTTGTTGTTTTTTTAGGTTAACATGAATAATAACAGTCGGGGAGCGTTTTTGTTAAAATTGGCGTGCGAAAAACACCAACAAGACATTTGAAATCAGACTTCTGTTCAAATTACACCCATAGGAAACGACGATTTAGTGGAAGGTACAGTACTTACTGGTTCCTAGATAGTATCACACAGACACTTGAGTTTCCTCTTCAGTCACTTGAATTGATTTTATGTGGTTATTAGGGTCAATATAATACCTAAATTCATTATTATTTAACTTCTACCCGGTTGCTTTTTGATATTTCTAGGTACGTCGGTTTATATTGTGTGTGTTTTTACAAATCAACTGCATTTGAAACAACAAAATACCCTATGTGAACGACCTAGCACCGTAAATATTAAATAATTTTCGTGTGAAGGTAAATTTGTACTGACCTAAACATTATTTTTATCTTATTTATAATTCTAAGCTAATAAATATACTTCGTCTTTTGTTTGTTTTACATGGTGGTCATGCATCAGATAAGGAAGATATTTATTTGGAGACAGTGACGACAGCGTTAAAGACACAAATATTGAAATCACAAGGTGTGCTTATAAAAGCACAAAGCTCAGACGATAGTTCTGGTCGTTCAGCTGCAAAAAGCACGTTAGACGAGTATCCGGTTTATCGAGCACGTCACAGCAAAAAAAAACTCAGCTAATTTCAAATACTGAAGATCCTAGACTAATCTGTTGCATAATACAAAACTATAATCCTACTCCCTCTAAATCTAAAGGTATTTCCCAACACAGAACGTCTACATCCTCTAGTTCATCCTCCTCAACTTCCAGTAGTAGTAGTAGTAGTAGTAGTAGTAGTAGTAGTAGTAGTAGTAGTAGTAGTAGTAGTAGTAGTAGTAGTAGTAGCAGTAGTAGTAGTAGTAGTAGTAGTAGTAGTAGCAGCATTAGCAGTAGCAGCAGTAGAGCTAATTCTCGATCAAATTCATCAAATAATAACCGCAACAAGGCCGATACTGTAGCTACTGCTTCTTCACCAGGTCAGGAAGCTACTTTTTTGTCAGGTCACTAAGATTACAACATAATTGAAAAAGATGTTCGTCAGGTAGATGAGAGTCCAGTACGTAAATCTTATAAAAAAAACTTAAATCTCGTGTTGATGAATGGTTATCAAATAAGGCAAAAACATTGAGAAATACCGGTAAGCCTTATATTTCTCGTTCTAAATCAAAGAAAAAAATTTCTGCAAAGTGTTTACAACCTCCGTGTGGGGAAAAATGCAAGTTGCAATGTACTAAAAAAGTAATTGAGGCCACCATAACTAAAATATTTGAAAACTATTGGCAATTCGGAGACTTGTATTTACAACGAAATTTTATTCATAAGCATATGAAACCAGTCATTCCTGCATGTAGATTTTCTGCTAAAGCTCAGCCTAGAAAACTCAATCACAGTTTTCATTTTGAAGTCGATGGACAAACTATACGAGTATGCAAAACTTTTTTCAGAGGTACATTGGCTATTAATGATCGTGTCATCAGAACTCTGATTGACAAATCCAAAGATGGTTTCTGGCAACAAGATATGAGAGGGAAGCACAATAACCATAAAAAAGTTGCGGAATCTATCCGACAGGGAATAAGAGATCATATTAACTCAATTCTACGTATGAAATCTCACCACATACCACAAAATTCGTCAAAGGAATATATCGATGGAGGAAAATCAGTGATCTTTACAGAGATTATAAAGTTCTTTGCGAATCCAACAACACGTCTTAAGGTAATGAAACTCTGTATTCAAGAATATTCAATTGTGAACTCAATATTAGTTTCTTTAAGCCAAAGAAAGATTATGTGTGCGATATGACAATGCCGAAGTAATGAGAAGAAAGACTTACAAATTGAATATTTAAAACATATTGAAGAAAAAGAGAAAGACAATGATGAAAAAATCTCCAATTCTGACAAGATTGTTGCAGATTACGATTTACAGGCTATTTTACGAGTACCGAGAGGAAGCACGTCTATTTTTTATTACCAACAAAAATAACGACAAAACAGACTGTTTCTATTGGCATGAAGGAGAGGCTAATCGTAGTGCGGATGAAATAGGATCTTGTGTATATAAATTTATTGAAAATACACTGCTGAGTTATGATGGAATTGATCTTATATTCTACTCCGACAACTGCTGCCGTCAGAATAAAAATCGATTTATAATTGCAATTTATTTGTTTTCCCTTGTAAAATTTCCTAAAATTAAATACATAACACACAGGTACCTAATAAGAGGTCATACGCAGAATGAAGCCGACTCAGTTCATTCTACGATTGAGAAACAAATCCAGAAAAGGCTAAAGTCTGGTCCAATTTACGTACCCAGTCAGTACTCGTATGTGGAAGCTATTAAATGCGCTAAGAAAAAGGGAAAGCCCTACGCCGTGACAGAAATGTCATCGAGTGACTTTTATTCATTAAAGCGTCTTTCTGAGGATATTGGATTTCGACTGCAAAGTCCTTCAAAATTTCTGAGCTGAGAATTTTTAAATTGTTGCAAGATAATCCTTCTAAGTTGTTGTACAAAACGTCATTTAAAGATGATCAGTTTTGTGAGATAAAAATAACGCGAAAGAAATATCCTAACCAAATTACACTCAAACCTGCTTATAGATCTAAGCCGAAACTGAAAGAAAATAAACTAAAAGATCTCCAAAGTCTATTGCAAAATAATCACATCCCACATTTTTACGAACATTTTTATAATTCTCTTAAGTATAAGCCTTGTTTTTATACAACAATGCTACCTATGTTATTTTGATATTTTTTAAAATTAATATTTGGACTAATAAGTTCCTGTTCTAGTTATTTATTACTATTTGAGAATTATTTTTAATAAAACTAAATATACGGATTTTATCGCGTTTATTCAACTGATTTTACTTATTTTTAATTCCCGACGTTTCGGGTGCTTTACAGCACCCATGGTCACGGGGGACTGAGATGTTTGACGTCCCAATGTCAGCAATGTAGCCGGGCTAACTATAACGCGATACAATCCGTAAATTTAGTTTTATTCAATGTGTAGTGTCCGCGTAAATTTAAGAAATTATTAATTATTTTTAAGTAACCGACCATGCTAAAGATGCTGCTATACCTGAGACTAACTGTATAATCATCATCATCATCATTACAGCCCTATACAAGTTCACTGCTGAACATAGGCCTCCCCCAAGTAATGCCACAAAGCACGGTCCTGAGCCACCTGAATCCATCGACTTTCTGCATGTCTTACCAGGTCGTCACTCCATCTAGTGGGGAGTCACCCTACACTACGCCTACCGGTACGAGGCTGCCACTCGAGAACCTTTCTTCCCCATCAGTTATCGGTTCTTCGAGTTATATGGCCGGCCCATTGCCACTTCAGCTTACTAATCCGTTCGGCTATGTCGGTCACTCTGGTTCTACTGCGGATATGCTCAGTTTATCACGCAGAAAAACCCCAAGCATAGCTTTTTCCATAGTAAGCTGAGCGACCTTGAGCGTCCTCATACGGCCAACAGTGAAGGAACACTTCTCGGTTTCGTAGGTCATCACTGGCAACACGCACTGGTTGTACAGCTTAGTTTTCAGGTTTTGAGGTATACCTGACGAGAAGATGTGTCGTAATTTCCCGAACGCTGCCCCGCCGAGTTGAATCCGTCGACTGACCTCTCGGTCGGTATTTGTCCCAGGTAAACATACTCGTCAACAACTTCGTGCTTAGTGCTCCCATCAAAGACCGGCATAGGTGTGACATGGACATTAAACATGATCTTTGTTTTGTCCATGTTCATCTTAAGACCTATCCGTAGGGTGGCACTATTTAGGTCATTGAGCATAGTGCTTATGTTCTCCAGCGATTCTGCCATAAGGACTATATCGTCGGCAAATCGAAGGTGAGTGAGTGATGTCTTCGCCATTGATGTTAATACCTTTCCAGTCCAGTAGCTTGAAAACGTCTTCCAATGCAGCGGTGAAGAGTTTCGGGGAAATAACGTCACCCTGTCTTACACCTCTCTGCAGTTGAATAGGTTTCGAACTCTGGTTCTGTACTCGGATAGCCATCGTAGCCCTACTGTACAAACACTTCAGCACTTCGATATACCGACAGTCAACTTGGCACCGCTGAAGGGACTGTAGCACCGCCCAAATTTCGACGGAATCAAAGGCTTTCTCATAGTCCACATTCGCCAGGCAAAGTGGCAGATTGTACTCTTCGGTTTTCTGTACAATCTACCGCAGGGTATGTATGTGGTCTATGGTACTGAAGCCTATTCGGAAACCAGCTTGTTCGGGAAGCTGGAAGTCGTTGAGTCTGCGTGCGAGACGATTTGTAATAACTCTCGAAAACAGCACGTGGACGCGGCTCAGAAGGGAAATTGGTCTGTAGTTCTTCAAGAGAGTGTTGTCGCCTTTCTTGGAGAACAAGACTACCGCACTTCTGCTATACGCCTCCGGAGTAGTGCGACCATGGAGGATAGAATTGAAAGCTTCTGAAGGACTTTAAGTACCGGTGTTCCACCCACTTTCAGAAGTTCCGTTGTATTCCATCCTCGCCTGGGGCCCTGCCGTTTTTAAGGTGCTGGAGAACCATTCTAATCTCGCTCAGACTGAGGTCCGGGATATCATCGGAATAGTGTCGGATAAGACTTGCTCTTGGATCGTTACTCATACTTGCGTGTGGCTCCAACGGTGATGTGTACAGCTGCCCATAGAACCTCTCAATCTCACTCAAAATCTCAGGTGTCCCGGAAACGATGCTGCCACACTCAGTATTCAGCTTTGACAGTTGGCTCTTTCTGGCAGATAGATCTCTGGTAAAGACTTTGGAGCCCTGCTTTTTGCTTTTGGAACTAATACTGCTCGCTTCTTCAATACGAGCAGTATTAGTTGCGTAAGTCCCGCCGCATGCATTTGGAGATCTGTCTGTTCAGTTGCCTGTATGCTGTTAAATCTGCTGACGATTGCAGCCTCATCTCTCGTCTAACAGCCATGAGATTAAGAGTGTGATCGGAGAGTTTTTGTGTTCTTCTGCGGCGGGTCTTGCAGAACTTAGCTCCGACCGCATGGACAGTTTCCACGAGCTTGTCATTCATATCGTCCACTTCATTGCAATCTTCTAGGCATTGAAAGCGGTTTTGTAACTCGAGCTGAAAGTTTTTCGGGATTCTGGATCAGAGCACGAGGGGGACGGAGCGTTGACTTCATTAGACGAGACTTCTCCAACTTAACATTTAGGTTAAGTGTGCCTCTAACCATACGGTGATCGCTGCCAGTTTTTATTGAGACATCACTGAACAGTTGGCGTCTGGTCATCATAATGAATTCAATCTCGTTTTTTGTCGAACCGTCAGGGCTCGACCAGGTTTGGTGATTCTGAGTATAAGGTACGCAACCCCTGTCGATACACTCCCAATCTTTACAACTTTGTTAACGAGAGACTTGTGGACGATAAATTCAACACCTTGGGACAGATGGTCGCCCTCCCGGTGATAAAACAAGTTACCGGATTCGAGAATCACCTTGTCCTCCCACTCTCTTCGGACCTCGGATAATCCTATAATATTCCAGCGCAACTTGTCTATCTCTTCTTCTAGCTCCAGGATCTTATTGTCAGTCCTCAGTGTGCGCGCGTTATATGTTGCCAGGTCGAGTCGTCGTAGGTGGCAACCGAACCTCCACCGGAGATTCTTAGCGAGCGGGTTGACAACCGCAGTTTTTTTTGTACAGTTGCTGTTATCAGGAAGATGCTGCTGCCCATCTCCTGCCTGTCTCCCTCTGTCGCCTCTTACGACACCCACGGGAAGATATGGGGTAGTGGATATTCTTAACCGCCACTACACGTTCAACTAACTGTATAAGGTAAAAGTTAATTTTTAATATAATAATTACTTTTTCTATATATTCATATAAAAGTTAATAAAGATAAAATTTGTATTATTTTCCAAAATACGAACATATTACGTGCCTAATTTCAGGGTTCTTGAAAGTTACTTAAAAAAAAAAACTATTTTTAAAAGTATAGGTCATTTGAATTGTAAATAAACTACTTATGTGAGTTATAAATTTTAGTTACGTAGTTTTCATAGGTTTGTCATAATCGACAAGGAAAGTATTAAAAAGTCTTGTTTTCTCGAAACATACCTTTTTGTGTTATGACACTTTTTTCCCGGGAAGTGATATAAGTAAATTTCAATCCAGTTACTACATTTTGTTATTTAAAAATATAAAATTTTAAATTTATATCACAATAGCTTTAATCTCAATCTGTTAACCAACTAGTCTGACATATGCCAGCCCGGCAATTTTTCCCGCTTTTCAACTATTGATATATTAGTTAAATTTATACATGTCTGCATGAATACACACAGAACTTCGTTTAAGGAACTATATACAAGTTTATCAACATCTTCAGCTGCATATCCCAACAAATTAATCACTCACTTAACTTTTTTTGTTTTGACAGGTTCACTGCACTGACACCAGGGCGTTGCTGTCTTGTTGCATATTAACCTTACGTTTATTACAGTAATGGGGAGGGAATCTATGGTAACACTGTGGGTATTCTCTATTTCATAGCTGACATCATGGAGACCGGTTACTCTGTCTCTCCTCCTTGTCACTTCACGTTGGTTGAAACACTTTCTTGTGTCCCGCTTTCTATAAGTTCTGTCATGTACGTGTCTGGAAAGATATAAATATTTTAAACATTAAAATAACTCTAAGCTAATGATGATACTCGAATGCTTTAAGAGGATTGTGAAGCTGTAAATTTTCATACAAAAAGCGATAAGGTTTTCCTACCCGTAAACATAGTCTAATTTTCATAATTTTTGGAAATGTTCATGTTCAGATGTTGAAAAAAAAAACTAGTTCCGTACGTTTTAATTTTAAATAAATATTACGTACGATATAAGTTATTAGCATCTAAATATCTATATTTTTGACTTAATAACTTCTTCGAGCGTTTTTATTTTTCTTAATTAAACTAAACTGACTTACTAAAAAAGAAAAACATACAGACCTAGACTAAGGTGTACTGAATCTATCTTATTTCGTAAAGGTTTAGAGTGGTTAAAATGTTATCGCCCGAAAAAATATTTCATTAAAGAAATGCAGGCAAGTGCTTCCAAGACTTGCAACTGTCTCTATCGCACGATACGGGTCGGGAGGCGGGTTATCGATATACATACTCGTATACGTATAGATTTATATATTTGATGGCTACGTGGCGCAGTAGCTTAGCAATGAGTTACAGCGCTGAGGACCGCGGGTTCGAATCCCGCACGGTACAATTTGTATGGCCTACAAAGTAATTGCTAGGATGCTTGTCCTTGTGCAATTTATGTATGTAAACTGCCTCCACGATACAGGAGAAGTCCTAGTGTGGGGTTAACGTAAAAATAAATAAAAAAGATATTATTATAGCCTAGAGAGACGAAAGTAATATCGAAAACCGACACTTCTTATGAAAAAATTAATATCTGTGAATAACTTCATCCATTAGGTATTTAGTCTTTTTATTTTATGCCCCATTTACATTCAGCCCTGTTGGGCAGGGAAGTGAGCAGGGCAGTGGGCAGGGCAGTGAGCAGGGCAGTGAGCAGGGCAGCGGGCAGGGCAGTATGTAAACAGGCTACTCGCGCTGACACTGCCGCTGCCGCTGCCACTGCCCGACGATCGCTCAAATGTCGGTTTTTCGTGCGGAAGTCAAAGGACGGGCAGCGCGAGCGGCAGTGAGTGTTCACATTCAGCTCCATCGCTCACTTCGCACCAAGCGCCTGGATGAACGGACGTGCGTGCCGTCTTGTTATTAAATAAGTACGATCTACCAAAATGCCTTTCGAGTGGATTAATGAAAATACAATAAAGTTTTTAGAACTGCTGGAATCAGAAAAACTATATTATGGGATTTCAAGGATAAAAACCACAATTCATCATCTTCTACGTATACGAATTATCTTTTTGAGATAACATAGTTAGTACCTATGTACATAATTAATTATAAATTCGCCAAATTTATTATATAACTATAAAATTTAGTTTAAGGAATTAATGAACATTGAAATTTTATTTCTAACGTTTTTAAGTAAAAACGATTAGTAACTCATATTGATTATTTATTTATTAAAATGTAAAATAAGTTAAATGGTAATATTTGCATAATAGCCCGAGATTTTTTATAATTTTATTGTAATTAAAATTATGAATTAATTTATACTGTAGTGTAATTATTAAAATAATAATAGCTTAACTAATCTCATATAATATTTAATATTTATGTAACAAGAATGTAATAATTCAATTAATAAATTATGAACAATTTACTATATAAGAATTCAAATAGAGTGGATCTGTATAAGTATTTAAATTGTACATAATATTTGAATTCAAAAAGAATGTTTGTACCTAACTTTTAAGCAATGCAATAATTTTAAAATGTAACATTGGGTTTGTGTAATTAGCTGTATTTCATATCATGTTTTTAAGCAAATAAATTTTCTATCTATCTATCTATCTTCTTTTGAACTTGATATCTTTTTAAATTATTAAAATAATTTTGTAGTGCAAGAAGACACAGCGCAGACGCTGTAATTATTTCGACGTCTGCCATAGTCGAAAGCCGAAAGTGATGTGAGTGAGTGGTAGGGCATACACACTTCCCGCGATCCTGCTACGGCAGTATTTAACGAAGTATTGACGGCAGCGCGAGGAGCAGTGGCAGTGGCTGAATGTAAAAGAGGCTTTAGAGTATTTATTGAATAAGGACTGTAACTTAAAAAGATTTCGAGATTACACTCAATTAGGTAGGTGAATAAATAAAAAAGTTACAACTTGTGGCAATTATTTTTTTATTACTACATATTACTTTATTACACTCTTTTTCGAGCTGCCACATTTATAGGTACTCGAGGGTCAATCAAATTTGGTAATAAACACTGCAAATAAAATGAGTTATGTTTTGGCTGCATTTTCTCTGACCAAAAGTGGTCATCGTACTTAATTTTTAAAAAAGAAACAAAATTGCCTACCAGTGATATGTAATTTTCCCTGGACTTGATAATAGTAATCATGATTTCTTTTTAAAATCATCTGTCCTTCTCGTATCAAACAAAATTTGATCTTTTTTTTCAGTTATGGCCTCCACAGGTGGCATATTAGAAGCAGAAATAGGACATTTGACTACAATTAGAGAGTTATCTCCGAGTCCATCGGGGCTTGTCCCTAAATAATAATCATCTTAATCAATAAACAGTCCACACATCAAAACTTTTAGATTGGTAGTTGTGGAAAATTCTCGTATGGCCTCCGATTCGTGTTGGTTTCCATATTCGGTTGCCGTATTTCCTTTGAAATGAATATACAGTAACTCTTTTAATGTAGACAAACACGAATTATTTAGGCGCAGTTTGCGATTTTCCAAATTTATACGCAGTTAGCCTTTTTCTCCATTCAATGTGCCACAAATCATTGTCTCTTTGACCTCTAGAAGCCTAAAAGAATTTAAAAAGAATATTAACAATGCTATAAACATTACTAATATTCCCCTTAACCACTCGTGGTAAGCTTAAATTGCTTGTGTTACGAGTGGTTCACGCCAGTAGTTGAATTGCGGATTCGAACCCACGATCTTTTTGAGTTCGCGGCCCGCGCCCTGCCATTAGGCTACTGTCACTTCAGTTTAAAATATATTTTACGGCTAACTAACACGGGCAAAAGCTAGTTTGCCTTTAATTCGGTTTATTGTTAAAATTTAGATTAGTAAATTAGAATTAGTAATACGAACAATATTTTTTCAACGACTAAAATGATTACTAGACCAGTGGCAAAATTTAAAATTTTGTACAACCGACTTCAATAAAACTCAACTATGACATGTCATGGTTGAAATTATTTTCATTACATTTATATGGGTGAGAATTATGGAAGAAAAAATGAATAGGTATTTAAAATTAGTCCACAATTGATGGAGAAATCAGTGAACATACATAAAAAAATTCTTTTATAAAGATCAACATCAGCTATTCCATAATTTTATATTTTGGTGGAATAAATTTCGGTCTATTATCATACCAATAAAATATGATATTATATTACTATTCTAAAATCAAAGTATGATCACAGAATAAATAATATTACATATGATACCTATGTGCAATAGTATGCTACGAAGTAAGGTATGCAATCAAAATAAGTAAGTACTTGTACTTACCTGTTGATTTTACAAGTTAGCATTACCCATCCTTTTAATTTACGAAGAAAATTGATTTTTTTTTTCATTTTGTTGATAAACTTTATCTTCCATTCTAAAAGGTATAAAATAATTTTATTTGAATGAACCTAATTGTAAGTATTAGGTTCATTCAAATAAAATTATTTTAATACCTAATACTCATCGTAAAAACTTGCATTTACCTTTGGCAGATATAGATAGGTAGATACATATAATGTCGCCTCTACACGTTGGCCAACACAGTGGCGAATGGAGTGGCGAATATATTGGCCGAGAGTTGGTGACGGCGTCCACACGTTGGAAGATCGTTCAGTTTACTTCGGTTCGGGCCAATGTGCGGACGAAAACGAATTTATAAGCACCGTGGCGCAGTGGCTCAGCAATGAGTGGCTGCGCCGGGCGCCGTGGGTTTGATCCCGCACGGAACAAGTATTTGTATGTCCTACAAATAATTGTTTCGGGTCTGGATGTGTCCTTGTGCAATTTATGTTTGTAAACTGCCTGCGCGATACGGGAGAAAATCCTAGTGTGGGGTTAACGTTTTTATAAAAGAATTATAAAATAATAGTGGATATTAATGGGGTTGTAAATAGATATACGATTAGCTTTATTTATTCTTTACATGCATCATAAACTGGAATAAATACCATTAATAAGAATTTAACTTATTTTAAAGTTAAAGGAGTTATAATCGATTAGTCTATATTTTAAAATTGGGTTTTAATTTTAAAGTTTAGCAAAATATGTACTTGCATTTCTATCAGACATTTGATGTATATAATTTATTTGGTAATTTAATAATTTTTTGAGAAAGACAAAAATAATAGCAATAAATATAATTAACACTGACTTAATAATAGGTACTAATTATAACTTAGAACATAAATGAAAAACTCTGACGAGCAAAGTGGCTCCGGACCATGCTTTGCGGCAGTCTGTGGAGGAGGATGTTCAGTAGTGGACTTGTGAAGAGCTGTAATGATGATGATGATTCGAGAACTTGCACGATAAAATTATAAGAAATCGACGCTTTTTTATATAGGATAGGGTGACAAACGAACACACAGTTCACCTGATGGTAAGTGGTTACTGTGGCCCACAGACATCTACATCTATCCTCGATTACGAATCAAAATGCAGATGCGTTGTCACCCGTGAGGACTAAGATGAAATGCCTCGTTACCTTTAAAAAGTGTCTCTGGTTCTCTACGCTCACTATACGAAACACAGCATCATTAAGCTACTATTTTACATTGATAGTCTGTGAGAGCGTGGTCCTTCCCCGGTCGAGCTGACCCATTCGTGCTACAACTATACTTCTAATATAACTGCATGGTTCTACCACGTATAAACAACGTGCTTCATTTTTTTCATTTTAAAATTGTTCTCGTAATAATCTGATGAATAAATGTTCATTATTTTTTTTTTATAAATAGCTTATCGATTAAAACAAATGTTTAAAAATAATTAAATCGCGCTAATTAAAGTAGTAGGAATGTTTAAAGTTGAAATTGGCACTAAAAGGCTGGTAATTGGGTCATCCACCCTACAAAGTGTGAATATAAAACTTTAATCAGATGCGTGTAATCACTCGGGGAACTTGTAGCAAACTAAATTCGCGGCCAACGTGTGGATGCGGCGACCAAACTCTGCCAACAATCCTTTGATCTTTTGTAAAAAATCGACACCACACGGATCTCGCGCCAACTTGGAGGAGGGCGTCATTGGTATGTATTGGAGCGATGGCCAACGGGCCATCGCTCCAATACATACCAATGACGCCCAAACACCCCGTCTACACGTTAGCCAATGCTATTGGCCACTACACTCGCCACTGTGTTGGCCAACGTGTAGAGGCGCCGTAAAAATAACAGCTCACATAAGGTATATGTAGTTATAGTACCTACTAAATGTCTACACACACACTATGCAATAAGTATAATAAAATTGCAAAGAAACAAACAAATTGAATAATTATGTATGTATAGTATATATATTTAAATCTCTTTGCTTGTCATAAATGTACGCAAACCGCAGATAGCCCACGATTCATAGAATACGCCCGAGCGTCGCTTACTGCTACTATTGTAGTGTGCGTGAGAATTTACTTATAATATGTTATATTTGTGTTGTTCACGCCCGGAGGGAGGCAAAGCGAGCGATATGAAACAGACAGCATTTTTGAAAATACCTACTCGCGACGCGTATCGGCACTGCACAATCCTCTTAAGCAAAGATTGATAGTGATTCTGGACTACCCTATAAATTTCTATAATATCCTTATAATGTCAAGAGGAACCCATGGAAAAGTGCAACCAATTTTAAACAAAGAATATCAAACGCCTCACAGACCAATTATATTTCTCCATACAGAGTCAGACTAACCTACGAACAAAGTAGGCAACATCTGTGGTCTCCTATCACTTAAAGGCCCTGCTGTTTTAGAAAAAGGCAATTTTATGATTTAGGAAGTTGTAAAAAAGACAAGGGGCCTGATGCTTGTATCGCCCAGGGGCATTTGCATGGCTGAATCTCTGATCTCTGATACCCTTTGAACCAGAACCAGAACAAATTAATGATTATGCAAACTCTACAGATGTGGAATGAGAAATATTCAATATGTTTAAATCTATCAAAGGCAGATAATTTGATATTAAAATTAAACCCTCAACCCCAAAGCGGTCGCAAGCGACCGCGGCCATATTCCGTCAAATCCCTAGCGGTCTCATAAGGTCGCACTCACCCACATTACTTTAACCCATAAAAACTTATATATAGACTACTTTTCTATGAAGAACTTTGGCATTATATAATCAATATGAATTACTCTATCCTCTAGTGCAATAAAAGAACTGTTATATTATGAATATTTATTTATAATCTATGTTTATTTCGTATGCCATCTTCGCGTGAATGTTATTTTGATGATTTTTGGATTTTTCTAATGTTTTAGTATAGTGTTTTATTATAAAATTGTAATGAAAGTTTTTGTGTGAATATAATTTATCTATTTACGTAAATAATTTCGAGTAATATATAGAAATAATTGTGATTTTCACACTGCCGACATTCACTTGGTATATTTTCTTTTTGTTACCAAAATACAATAAAAATTTTTTGTAATGAAGTACCTGACCTGACCTTTGTTTAGACCACAAAATAGAGAATTTTGTATAGATTTTATAATGCTAAACTTCTTCATAGAAAAGTCGTCTCTAAATGTAAGTTTTAATGGATTTAAGTGCTGTGGGTGGGTGCGGTCGCTTGCGAGCGCTTGGATGCATGCGAGCACATGCGACAGGAAGGGATTTATAAGGGGCTTGAGGGGTTAATATGATTTTTTTTTATTGATCATAGAACCAACAGCATGTTATAAATATTAACAGAACTTCTCAAACAATCCATAATGCCAATAACAGGTTCTTACTTTATATAAATGTACATACTATCGCTTGTTATTGTTTACAACTAATAATATTAATCAATCAATAAAAATTACAAATTAATAATATTAATTACAAAGTACTTGGATATATTAAAGAATATTATTATATAGAAGACTTTAAAAATAAGTTTCACAAAAAAAGAGACAATAAGCAGAAACAAAAAAAAAAAAAAAAAAAAATAAACGTAAGAATATTGCATAACAACTCTAATAAACTATAACAACTATACAATAATAAATAACATAAATGAAAATTACATCACATAATGTACACATTTGCATGCGTGCGTGCGTGCGTGCGTGCGCGTGTGCGTGTGTGCGTGTGCACGTGTGTGTGTGTGTGTGTGTGTGTGTGTGTGTGTGTGTGTGTGTGTGTGTGTGTGCGCTGTGCACGTGAGTGTGTGTGTGTGTGTGTGTGTGCGTGTGCACGTGAGTGTGTGTGTGTTTGTTATAATTTATTACTTAATATTGAAATAATATCTTTTTTAAAGACTGATTTGCTTTGGTGGAAGATGTCAGTTGAAGAAAATTCTTTATTATAGGTATTAAGTATGCGACATATTACAGAATTCTGTGCATAATTTGAGTTACTTAAAGGAACATTAAATAACGGAGTATGTCTAGTGCGCTTAGTAGGTGCTCGTAGTTGTAAAGTACTGGAAATTAATTCAGGGCTATCAATTTTGTTACTGCAGATATCATGAAGAAATAGCATCTGGAGTAGGGTGCGGCGATCTTTCAACTGCATTAATTTATGCAAATTACATGATTCTGTATAACTTTTTGTTTTATTTTGACATCGAAAATTTAAGACGTTAATAAATTTTCTCTGTATTCGTTCAATTTCTTGTGAGTACATTATGTAATTTGGGTTCCACACAACACTACAATATTCCAGGACGCTGCGTACATAAGAATAGTATAAAATCTTTATACATTCTATGTCCGAAAAAGGTTGACAAACTCGTAATACAAAACCTAGATTTTTATAGGCCTTTGCAACTATTGCCGAGATATGATCATTCATCATCATTTTCGAATCAAAGACTACTCCGAGATCTTTAGTTTTGTCAGTTTTTTCTAAAGGAAAGTTGTTCAAGTAGTATTGAGATATAAATTTTCTCCTTTTGCGAGTAAAACTAATTTGGAAACATTTCGATACATTCACGCTAATGCGGTTATCACGGCAGTAGCTGCAGAAACGGTATAAGTCGTTCTGTAGCTTAAAAGCATCTGCTTCAGATTTTATGTAAGCATAAGTTTTCATGTCATCAGCGTACATCAGAAACTTAGCAGAATGAAAACAGATGCCCACATCATATAAATATACTGCATACAGCAAGGGCCCCAATATTGAGCCTTGTGGGACACCAGATGGAACGTCCACAATATTTGAGCAATATCCAGCCACAACAACTGCCTGTGAGCGATTACGCAGGTACGATTCTATCCATCTGAGAAGGTTTCCCCGTATTCCTAGCTCCTGGAGCTTTTTTAGAAGGATGATATGATCAACGCGGTCAAAAGCCTTCTCAAAGTCCGTATATATAGCATCTGTTTGGAGGCCATTATCCATCCCTCTAAGAACATCGTTGCTAAAGATGGAAAGATTGGTGCAGGTTGAGCGACCACGCACATTATGATTAAACATAATATTTTCATATTTTCTTTTCGTCAATTTAAACCAACCTATAGCTTTTAAATACTACTGGAATTCTTTAATTGCACACAGCCCCTCTATGAAGCAATCTATGGAAGATGTTCTGCAGTGGAAATTTGACGGGCTGTAATGATGTTGATAATAATGATAATATTACATTTTAGACAACCGGGTACATACTCCACCGGATGTTGCTGACTGGTGGATGCTGTGGCCCACTCAATGGCACCTATGAAAATACAGATGGTATTGTCATGTAGATTAAGATGGAATGCCTCATATCCACCAGTAAAAATGATCTCCGGTTCTCTACACTCACCATACAAAACACAGCAGCCTTAAGCTGCTATTTTACGCTAGTATTCTGTGAGTGTGATCCTGCCCTGGCCGAGCCAACCCATTTGTGCTACAACTAATATTGTTGCAGTGTGTGGCTCTACTATGTCTAAAAACCATAACAACCAACAAAAACAAATACATGAGTTACTTACTTAAAAGTATTTTCTATACCAGTATTAATGTTTGCTGGACGATGTACAGTTAATCCCGCATCTCTCAGTCTTACATAGAATTCATCATCCTCTAGGCCCCATCCCCAATAATTATTTGACATTCCTTTTACCATTTCAAAGTGCTCCTTTTTTATCAATAAAATTCCCCCGATAAAAGTATCATAGTGATACTTTGGATGAGTTTGTGGCGATGATATATGGAGAGGTCCAGATTCTGGATATTCATACCTCAAATTATCGTTTAATGGCAGTAAATCAACATCATGCATTGCAATATAGTCATAATCTTTCTTTGTATACAGAAATCCAACATTTATAAGAGATGCTCTGTTAAATCGGTTATTATCTTTTTGCTGGATGATAAATATGCTGAAGGGTATGTTTTGTTTCTTGAGAAAATGAAACATATGAGGTACAAACTCAAGGAGCTCTTCAAAACGGTCTCTGAAAGGCACTATAATAGCCAAATTTCTCTTGGTTTGTATTTGAGCTGATATGCCATATGTGATTGGTTTTGGCAAAGCTTCATAGTCTGAAATATAAAAGGAAAGTGATTAATTCTTAAAATCCATATGTACACATTTATTTGTTTTAATATTCCAGATTCCTTTTCACAGAATGAATCTATACTTCAAACAAGGAAAAACTTAATGAATATTAAAATTACTTATTCCTAATAAAGTTTAATCAAAACACTTAATATGCTTACCAGTTTGTATCGGCAAAGAGGCTAAGAAGCAACCCATAATAAATGTAAGTCCCAGACAAATAGCGAGACATTTGGAGCTCCTCAACCGATACGCCATCAACACATTCATCTCCATCAATGCACGGTTTGTGTTTAAGCTTATTTGGAGAATAACTGTAACCTTTGATTTGTTTACTGCTTAACTGAGAAGTAACAACTCTAATGCTGCATTATTTTTTGTGCATATTTAAAAAACATACGAAAATTTCAGCATTTAATAAAAAGTTCTGCACTTAAAATGTTTTTAATCTTCTCCTTGAACGTTGTATTTGAATTTTTAACACCCCCATATCCGACCACAGAACACTATCCTAGTAGTGCAATTGCCGACGCTGAGTAATAAATATACTTTGGCAGAGCTATTTTTACTACATACTAAAAATAATGATCAATTTGGGTACTATTTGCTGCATAGATTACTAATTGTATAGTGCATTATAGTATTATTATACGTTCTATTGCGTTGACGCTGAACATATTTGAATAAAAGCGCTAGTCGAGCTACCGACGTTGAACATCTTCACTGCTTATCATAGATTACTGACTACTGCTTATCATAGTGAGATCTGCTTATATACTATAGTATAGGTGCGTCCACTATGCACTCAGGCAAAGAGCACTTATTCACTGCACCACTGCACTGACGGCACGCTGAGGCCCTGAGGCTGAGCGCTGACGCAAAAGTTTTTAGACGTGATCAACAATTTTTGTGTTTTTCTTAAAATAAATGCCCGAGCAAGTTATGATTAGCAAAGTCAATGACAAATTGACAATATAGGGATGTTCGATGATCATCGATGTTAAAAATTTAATCATTGATGTTTTAACATCGATGTTCTCACTTTAACATCGATGATCGATGTCAATGAACCCATAATCGATTATTGGAAGGTTATTTTAAAAAGAAGCTTCAAACTCTTTAAAACAGAGAAACAGATAGAAATTATAATTACTATCCTTCAATCGATTGCAAAAAATATTGGACTATAGCAAATGAAATAGATATTTGTTAACTTCTTCTACCAAGTTTTTAAGTTACTTTTTTAAAATAAGTACATTGTTTATTATTTTTTTTATTTCATTAATAATATGCCGTAAACAACATGTCTATTTTTATTCATCTAATTCTAACCGATTAAATACATGTGCAAAAACATCGATGTTTAGTTATCGACACTAACATCGATGTCATCATCGATGTTTCTGCAACCTCGAGCATCACTATGAAAATAGCTTGCTCCATATTTATCTATGACAAGCACAGAGTACAAATGGGTCGTCGACGTAGACAGAGAAACCTATAGACTAATGATCGGCGTGGCATTCGAGCGAGAAAGGACGATAACGAATTTTTAGGTTATACCATTGATTTATATAACACTAGATCAGTAATAACCGCGCCAAAGCGTTGCCACTGCACATATGGCCACAGCCATATGCTTAGCTAACGTGAGTTCATTGTTCAGTGTGACGCCGACAGAGTTGAGCCGCGACAAAAATGGGTAAGTGCGTAGTGAAAGAATGCTATTCAAGGTCACAAAAACGTAATAAATCAAGCGGAATCACTTTCAACACATCATTTTTAGTTCTTGTTTTCATATAAACGTAAAAAACCTCAAATAATTAAATAAAATTTTCGAATATTGCCATTTAGGTTCAATGTTGCCACTTTTCCGCATTTGTGATTATCCTACATTAATGGGAGACTATATAGTTAATGGAGTAAGTTAATTTGTTACCTCTGATTTTAAATATTTTGGAAATTATAATAAAAACTACGTTTTAATTTTCATACAAAATAATAAATTATTCTTATTTTAGTTTATTCATGAATTATCTATTAAATATAATTTATTACCTATTTTATATTAATACTTTTATAATATTTATAATTTCATATAAATTTTTTATTAATTATATTTTATTACCTATTTTATATTGTTATATTGTTTGATTTATTAGTACCATAAAAATACGTTTTATTTCATCATTATGTTTACTTCTATTCATCTGATAAGCTTTGTATCCTTTTTTCTAAGGGGACATAATAAAGATTTGAAAATAAAGTATACTTTTTTAATATAAAAACAATTAACTGCAGTTTTAAAAAAAACTCATTTTTATTGCGTATTTTAGGTAATATTTCATATAGTAAGCCACACCAACCCGCTATTGCATGTTTGTGTGTCTATCTTTATCTAATCTTAGCGACGATATTGTTTTCGCAACTTGTGTAAGTGAGATAGATATATGTTTACTTAAAATTGTTATTAGTTTCAAAGCTACGTCGTCGCGTTTGGATAGTGGTTACACTTTTTTCGACGCGCGGTAATGTGGTTTGCTCCTCTAGTGTTGTATAACTCAATGGGTTATACAATAATCTTTATGACTTTTAAACACATTTAGATAAAAAAATTTAATTGTTCTAAGAACTGAATCCGTAGAAAGATAATTGAAAGAGTGAACGGGGGGGAAGAGGAGATTAAAGGGGACTGAACAAGATTCACCAATCTTAAGCTCACAAAACACTTTTTCTCACTTAAACCAACTTGTAAACTCCTTAAATCGCTACGCTGCTAAAGTTATTTAGCAAACTGTAGAGTTTGCTAAACAAAAAAACCGGCACGGAGAAAGGGACAAACAATCACACCGCTCTATCTCATTTCTAAGCAAGACGTATGCATAAATCAATTTTTTTCGTGTGCGAATGCGAAAGAAGGCGTCAATATGTCTATAGGTTTCTTTGTCTACGGTCGTCGACGTATTTACAGTCACGAAACGACACTGTTTATCGTCAACAATAAACTAGTTTATAAAACAGTTTTCTTTTCGATTAGTTTATGCCGTCGACAAACATGATCGATGAACAATTTACTTATATTAAAATATACTATTAATTTACTTATGTTAAATATATATTATAAAACTACTTGTCGTTCTACGTTGATTCGCTAATTGATAAACGACGATTAAACTGTTACGATAAATAATAAGACTGATGTTATGTGATATGATCAACGAGAGAAGTCGATCGGCAAACGATAACATTAGTCTTAGTTAACTATTTTTGAGTAAAATAAACTCCCTTCATACTGTTTCTAGTATAGGGACTGGAGGCTAGTTATACATAATCGTATAATCAGAATAAAATTGGCGGTGGATGACTTATAACCACTGACCTCTATATATACAAGTACGCTGGACTGGCTATACACCGTGACATGATGAAGCGATTTGATTTTCGCCATTTTGGCGCTGACAGCAGAAGTGCACGTCCACGGAACTAATAATAGGAATGAGACAGTGTACCAAATTATATCGATAAATTTCTATACTCTACCTATACCTAAATAGAATGGGCTCTATGTATAGATGGACTCCACCCGTAACGTCCATTCTATTTATGCAACATATTAATATAATGCCATTATCATTCATCATCATTAAAGCCTTTCACAAGTCCACTGCTGAACATAGGTCTCCCCAAGAAATACCACAAAGCACGGTCCTGAGCCACCTGCATCCATCAACTTCCTGTATGTCTTACCAGGTTTTGACTCCATCTAGTGGGGAAACGTCCTACACTTCACCTGCCAGTACGAGGCTGCCACTCGAGAACCTTTTTTCATCATCAGTATTCGGTTCTTTGAGCTATATGTCCGGTCAATTACCACTTCAGCTTACTAATCCATTGGGCGATGTCGGTCACTCTGGTTCTGCTGCAGATATCCTCATTCCTAAGTTTGAACCCCTGAGAATAGCCCTTTTCATAGCTCGCTGAGCGACTTCGAGCTTCCTCATGCAGCCAGCAGTGAAAGACCTGGTCTCAGGTCCATAGGTCATCACTGACACTGACTGACGACAAGATGTGTTGTAATCTCCCGAACGCTGCCCAGCCGATTTGAATCCGTCGATTGACCCGTCGGTCGAAGTTGAACTTACCTAGTCGGACTATTTGTCCCAAGTAAAAATACTCGTCAACAACTTCAGCTAAGTGCTCCCAAAAATTGTGACATGGACATTACACATGATTTTTGTTTTGTCCATGTTCATCTTAAGACCTATCCATTGGGAGACATTATTGAGGTCATTGAACATAGTGCGTAGTCGTCCAGCGATTCTGCCATAAGGACTATATTGTCGGCAAATTGAAGGCGAGTGACGTCCTTACCAGTCCAGTAGCTTGAAAACGTCTTCCAATGCAGCGGTAAAATATTTCGGGGATGTTACGTTACCCTGTCTTACACATCTCTACAGTTGGATTAGTTTTGTACTAAGGTTCTGTACTCGGATAGCCATCGTAGCCCTTAGAACATTCAACTAAAAAATTATTAAGATTAAACTAACAACACAAAATAAAAATAAAAATATAATTTCTGAAATCATTTATTGTCAACCGTTCATTTAGTTCTAGTATTATAAAAAACAAATCAGCTGCTATAATAACGCCTATTTTAATCAACTACATGTCTGTCTACAGACCGTAAAATATTTTCTACTATATAAAAATTTATGTTTGTTCGTACTTTTTACGATGCTATACCGTTCATCAGATTGCTGTAAACTCAGTCAACTTATTGGTTGCACTTGTGGGAAGGTTATACGCATGGTACAATTAACTGACATTAGGTGGCGTGCGTATTATACTGACTATTTATTTGAAAGGTATAGAAAGTTATATATCATTCGATTTCAATGATTGTATTATCATTCCTAATTATACAATATAACTGTTTCACATTTTTAACGATATTTCCACAATTAATTCTTCTGCGGCAGCAATGCGCCGGGTACGAGCTAGTAAAATAATATAAAAATATAAACTTTGAATTACATTGTTATCAGTTATTTACAACGTCATTTTCGAAATTAAAATGTTGGTAACGAAGCAACGCCACGCCAAAGTAACGCTGACAACGCAGCGGATGTGGCACCTGCGCATGTACGGTTTCCGTTACCACCGTCCACACCGCTGACGTCGTTGTTACCCGGCCCGAG